TATCATGATAGTGGGAGTGGGGAGGAAACATTTAGGAACTAGAGGAAAGTTGTATTTTTCATTGTTGCTACATCGCCCCCTGACTGGCTCGTCTCCTCCCCAAGACCCCTCTGCAAGGGAATCTCCAGTGGCTGCTAATACCTTTTTTTCAATAATATAAGTGGTGACTTCATCAGACAGAACACACAGAAATCAAATTGACTACATCTGTGGAAAGAGACGATAGAGAAACTCAGTAACATTGGTCAAAACAAGCCAGGCCCCAATAAAATGATTAAAACAACAAGCCAGGAGCCAACTGTGGAACAAACCATCAATTGCTCATATGCAAGTTAAGGTTGAAGCTGAAGAAAATTAAAACAAGTCTATGAGAGCCAAAATATGTCTTGAGAGCATGCCACCTGGATTTAGAGACGATCTCAAAAACAGACATGACAAATTAAACACTAATGACAGAAGACCTGATGACCTGTGGTATGACATCAAGAATGTCATGCACAAAAAAATTAAGAAGTGATTTAAAAAGATAAGAACAGATGTATCCTCCCACATGTTCATTGCAGCACAATAGCAAGAAGTTGGAAACAGCTTAAATTCCCATCAGTAGAAGATTGGATTAAAAAACTCTGGTACATACACACAACGGAATACGATGCAGCCCAGAAATCAAATGAAGAAGAATGATGTCCAGGTATTTTCAATGGATGGAAAAAATATTTGAGAGAACAATGGAAAGAATAGAAAAACTAGGAATGTATACTAAATAGATTTCAAGAATATAGATAATAAGGTAACAGAATTAGACTAAAAAGAGCAGAGTAATAGAATCAAAGAAATAGAAAGCTGAATTAGTGAGCTTGAAGTGAATTCTATCAGCTGCAGCCAGCAAAGGGCACAATCAACAAAGACAGCAAAGGAATCCAAATAAAGCCTAAGAATTTACATCATCAACAGAAATGATCTACATCTCATTGGGATTCCAGAGCAGGAAGAAACAAACAAAAAATCTACAAGAAAATAGTATAAGATATTATGAAACAAAATTTCCCTAATACAATAAAAGTGGAAAAAATAACTATTCAAAAGGCTGAGGGAACCCTAAATAGGATAGATCCCAAGAGAGAAACATTAAAACATATCACAGTCAAACTCTCCAAAATCATATACAAATAAAGAATACTGAGAGCAGCCGAGGAAAAAAGAACAGTCACCTACAAAGGAAAAACCAATGAAAAATGAGAATCCAGAATACTTAATGGTGCTCAAGTGTTTGCAAACGGCGCCCTAAAATTGGCATTATACCAATTGCCCCCCTCCCTAGAAGTATCCTGGGGGCGTTGGAGCAACAACAATCTAACGAGAAGAAGTACTAAGAGGTAGCAGTAGGGCAAGTGTTTGGGTGGGGCAGAAGGAAGGTAAAAGGAAACAGGAATGATCTAGGAAGCAAAGCTATAGATAGAGGTATAAACATAGGCATGTACATATATCAATACATTTATCCATAAAAACAGAGGCATTGGCCTATGTATATATATTTATATGGCAATACACTGAGGTAGTGGACGGATTTCAGGCTTCTGCTCATACCCTCCCTCAATAAAAGAACACTTTGTTCTAACAAACAGGGCATTCTGTGATGCTCATCCTCCTGGCACAATCGCTGAAGACTAAACAGGTGCAGAAGCAAATGTGGTGAAGAAAATGGATGGTGGCTGGCTATTAAAAGATACAGCGTCTGGGGTCTTAAAGGGTTGAGGTTAAACAAGCGGCCATCTAGCAGAGGAGCAACAAGCCCATGTGGAAGAAGCACATCAGCCATTGCGATCATAAAGTGTCAATGGGACTGGGTAACAGGCATCAGAAGACCCATAACAAACAAAAACATATTGTTGAGAATGAGATGATTTGGAGCACAAACCCAAATCCCATCTGTAGACAATGGGACATCCCCCCGCAGAGGGGTCCCAGGGAAGGGATGAGTCAACCAGGGTGCAGTAAAGCACTGATGAAACACACAATATTCTTCTGGTTCCTTGAGGTTTCCTCACCCCCCCACTTTCATGACCCCAGTGCTGCCTCTCACTTTGGACTAGACTGGAGCATGTATGCAGGTACAGATAAGAGACCAGAGCTCAGGACCCACGGAATCCAGGAACAGGAAAGGGAATATTGCCACTAGAAGGATAGGGGGAAGAGGGGAGGAAGGGTGAACCGACCAGAATGATGGACACATAACTACACACACCCCTCCAGCGGGGAGAACAACAGAAACCATGGGGGAAGGGAGTCTCAGTCACAGTGGTCAGCGTAAGATATGAAAATAATAAAATTTATTATCTATCAAGGGGTCCTGAGGGTGGGAAGGGAGGGAAAAAAGAGGAGCGGGTATTAAAGGCTCAATAGAAAGTAAATGTATAGAAAAGAATGATGGCAACATGTGTACAAATATGCCTGATACAATTAACATATGGATTGTAATAAGAGTTGTGAGAGCCCCCAATAAAGTGATCTTTTGATTTAAAAATAATAGGCATTATTATGGGGGTACATCATGCAGAATAACTTTTACTTATGAGCATGTATGTGGGACACAACTCCAACCCATGAAGGTAAAGGTTTCCTCCACAGGAGCCTTGGCTTTCCAGAGGCCTTAATGAATGAATGTGGAGAGTTTGCATACACTCTCTTCCCTATTCTATTTCCCACACATCTGTCCATGAGCCTTCCTCCCATCATGATGCCCATTCTTCTTCATATAATCCAGTTTTTCTGATTATTTTGCTCAGCATACAGATTGAATACGTATGGCCAAAGGATATGACCCCGAAGCACACCGTTTCTGATGTTCAACCATGCATTATTCTTTTCTGTTTGGACAACTGCCTCTTGACCCATGTACAAGTTCCACATGAACACAATGAAGTGTTCTGGAAGGGGCTCCTTATTAACAGGCAATATGCACACGGCACACCTCGCATGCTGAAATCCAAGAGGACTTGAAACACCTGAAGATCAAAGACTACTTCAGTAAATATTACAACGTAATGTAAAGGAAACAAAAATCTTCACAATTGAGCCAGTAAGTAGCATCATACTAAATGAAAAGATTGAAAGTTGTCAAGCTTTTAATTTTACTTACATCCACAATCAATGTTACTGGAAGAAGCGGTCACAAAATCATAGAAGAGATTGCACTGGTCAAATCGTTGCAAAGGGCCTTTTTAAAGTGTTAAAAGAGCAAAATATGTCAATCTGAGGACAAAGGTGTGCCTGACCCAAGCCATGGTCTTTTCACTCACCTCATATATATATGTGAAAGCTGGACGTCTTTCTCTGGAACAACAGGCATCTGTCCAGGAGGACATACAGCTAGATGCTCCTTAGGAAAGATAAAAATCCAAAAAATGAACTCACGGCTGTCAACTTGATGCCGACTCATAGCAACCCAATAAAACAGAGTAGAACTCCTCCTATGAGTTCCCAGATTGTAACTCTTTGCTGACCCTGATACTGTCCTTCATATGCATGACGCCTTAGAGATGACAAATGGCTTTGACGTTTCATTCAATAACTGATAATATATACTGAGAACCCACTATGTGAAATAGCCCCAGTGATTCTGTGGGTTAGTCAGTAGGCCGCTAACCACAAAATCAGCAGTTCAAACCCACTAGCCTTTCTGTGGGAAGAAGATGAGACTGTCTGTTCCTTTAAAGATTTAAGTCTCAAAAGTCTTATAAAGGGTTGCTATGAGTTATAATTGATTGGATGGTGGTGGGTTTGATTTGGGTCTTACCTACTACATATAAAATGCTGTTAATAATAGGAAACAAATGCTTCAGAAAGCGAAATCTGGCATATAGTCCTCTTCAACAATTCAGTTATTCTTCCACCCTCTGCCCAGCAGATTTACATTCACAACCTGCTTATGGAATTTTCTGTTTCTCCTGGCCACCCAACAATCTTCAAAATGTAGGATAGGGCTACACAGTGCCCCAAACTCCCCTGAACATACAATGTACCGTACTTAGATTGTATAGGCGACAACTATCAGCACATTGCCGGTAATAGAAAAATGGTGGTGGCGTGTTCCTACTGTGGGCCTTTTTGGCTAAGCAGTATTTTGGACAGAAGAGAACATGTTTATCCAATTGCTTCTTCATGTCTTATTCCTAAAATAATTCTTAATAAAATGCTTTGGGTGTGCTCATTAACCATACTGATATTTTCAACAAAACGAAGGATCAAATGAGGTTCAGAGAATACACTTGGGAGCAACATATCAAAAATTTGAACCCCCTTCCAGATCCTAGATCCCTGCCATAGATTGTCTTTTCAAATGAAAAGCCACAGATGGTCCATTGAATTGCAATTTGTGGTGAAAGCCGGGTATTCTACATTTTAGTTATCCAAGAAAAATGTGTGAGCCACATAAGTTGTTTAAAATTTTCTGGTAGCCAATTTAGCAAATTGGCAAATAAAAAGATAAATAGATAATTTTACTACTGTAAATCCCAAACATCGTTATTCTAATATACAGTCTATATAAAAAGAATGAGGTACTTTACATGACAAATAATCAGTTTAATGAAGTGTTTGTTTTCCATTGATAGTCCATCTCTATGTGAACTAGCTATGTTTCTAGAGCTCAAGAGCCACATGTGGCGTGTGGCCATGAGTTTGGACAGCCTGTTCTGCCATGACCCCCCAGCTGTCAGTCATTATCTGAACCACTTGGGGGTAAGAAAACCAGCGTATCATTGAAGTGATGGCCAAATGCCCTCAGCCGGTACACTCCATACATCATGACTTCCATTTTCTGAGGGGTCAGTCCGTTAAAAGTGACAGCCATATCTGAACAGCAGCCTTCGACGACATGCTGAGGATTATTCGAGATTGCCTCTTGAATAAGGCGTTCAATTGGCTTTGTATTAAATACATCTCTTCCTTCGGAGTCCTCTGCATTTTCTGCACGAACTCCTGCATACTTCAAGCAAACAGCCAGCTGCATATCTTCAGATAACTTCCAAATCATACTTCGATCTCTACAGTTTTCAGAGCGGAGAGCGCCGTCAAGCCTTTTCATCGACTCGGTACTTAAGACAATGCCTCCTTCCAACGCTACGTATTCCAGGTCTCCGTATTTTACAGTGTGGCCCAGATATAATGGCTGTGTTGCGTTTTTCCTCAACAAAAAATACTTTAAGTTTTCGATGACCGCAAACGTAGTGGGGCGTGCAAGAAAGAACCAATTGTAGATGCTGCCATACTTTTCAAAGACATATTTGTATGTTTCCCTCACCTGTAGCCAGGTATCATTTGCTTTTCGATTGGACAAAGGACTGCTTTCAGAACCGTAGAACTCGGCCTTGTCACAGTGTTTGGTCCAGGTGCCCCTCAATATAGCCTGGTAGCCCCTGTACTTGGGTTCGCCAAGTACGAAACAGTAAACTCGGACACTTTCCCGGAGCGCCACGCCTTCCGCCTCCGACGGTTTAAAGGAATCCTCTCTGTTAGGCGCGCGCAGGTGATGATGTTCGTGGTCTTGAATTTTACCTTTGTGTCCAACGCTCATTTGGCCAAACGCAATGATCAAGACGTAGGAGATGCTCCCAAGCAGCAGCCCCATAGAAAACGTCAGCTTGCGATCGGAGACCATTTTCCCACCGGGAGAACAGCGCAGGAGGAAGGAACCGCGGTGGCCCTCTGGTCCTGCCCTCGAGCTGCGGGGACCACTGCTCCGTGGTGGCGCGGGAGGAGGTGGCGGTTAGAAGTGGCCTTGAAAGTTTGGGGCCTTTCCAAGACTGCCTACCAATGACATGGAACATGTGCATAATTCGAGGCAACGATATCTCTCAAGGCCGAACTGTAACCTATTTCACGGAGCGTATGGGAATCCGAGCTCCTGGCGCCCACCCCTAAGCGCGCCCTTACTAAACGCGTAGGGTGCCGCTTGGAACACCCAGGGGTGCTGGTGGTCGGGTCCCAGGGTCACAGCTTGCAGACACCTGTGGAATGAAGTTCTCCCCTGAAGTATATGGGGTCTCCAGGAATCGCCATCCAATCGAAGACTGGTTTTTGTTTTTGAATTACAACACTGAGCGGGGAGGGGAGGGGGGAGGTATTGAGTTTTGTTGTCTTTTAAGTTTGTTTGTTTTTTAATCGTTTTATTAGGCGCTCAAACAACTCTTATCACCATCCATCCATACATCAATTGTGTAAAGCACATTTGTACATTCGTTGCCCTTATTATTCAGGTCCTCATTTTTGCCCCTCCCTCCCTGCTCCCCCCTCCCTCATGAACCCTTGATAATTTATAAATTATTATTTTGTCATATCTTGCCCTGTCCGACGTCTCCCTTCACCCACTTTTCTGTTGTCCGTCCCCCAGGGAGGAGGTCACATGTAGATCCTTGTCATCGGTTCCCTCTTTCCTACCCACCCTCCCTCTACCCTCCCAGTATCTCCACTCACACCACTGGTCCTGAAGGGTCATCTGCCCTGGATTCCCGGGTGTTTCCAGTTGTCCTTTAACTTTTATTGGCACTTCATCCACACATCACACAATTAAGTAGTTCAACCATATCGAGAAGAATTAATACCACAAACTCTAACACAGTCAGTATTAGAACATCTCCTTGTCCCCTGTACTTCTTGTTATTTATGTAATTTTTTGGGGGGGGTGTTCCCCAGTTCAACAACTCCAGTTCTCCAGTTCCACATGTTCCCCAGTTCAACAACTTCCATGTGTACAATTCAGTACCATTGGTTCTTCATGTTGTGCAACCATTATTGATATCCCTCTCCAAATTGTCATACCACCATTAAAATGAACTCAATGTTTAATAAACGCAATTCATGTACACACTCAAAATTCAGTTTCAAAATAATTTATGTGTGAAAAGTACATATTTTTCTTCCTAGAAGTAACTGCGCACATCTCTCTGCTTCAAGTCTGGTTTCAGACACAGGTGTCGAGAGATGAGGTACCTGGGGATGTCTGGCTGGTTGGTTTGGTTCATTCTATATCTGCTGATAACAAAGGTCCACTATTCTTTTTTTTTTTTTTTAAGATCCTTTTTTGGGGGCTCTTACAGCTCTTATAACAATCCATACATCAATTGTATCAAGCATATTTGTACATATGTTGCCATCATTATTTTCTAAACCAGCGGTCGTCAAACTTTTTAAACAAGGGGCCAGTTCACTGTCCCTCAGACCCGTTGGAGGGCCGGACTATAGTTTGAAAAAAACTATGAACAAATTCCTATGCATACTGCACATATCTTATTTTGAAGTAAAAAAACAAAAGGGGGAAAAACACCCAGGGGGCTGGATAAATGTCTTCGCAGGCCGCGTGTGGACCGCGGGCCGTAGTTTGAGCATGCCTGATCTAAATATTTGCATTCTATTTGAGCCCTTGGTATCAGCTCCACTTTTTACCCTGCCTTCCCCCATCCCACTCTCATAACCCTTTGATAAATTATTATTATTTTTATATCTTACACCAACTGCTGTCTCTTTTCACTTATAGTTTCTCCCACCTTCCCCCTTCCCTCCTGGTATTACTACTCCCATTTTTGTTCCTGACGGGTTTATCTGACCTAGATTCTGTGTGTCCTGAGCTCTTATCTGAACCTGTGTATAAGCTCCGGCCTCGCCCACAGTGAAAGGCAGGACTGGGGTCATGATAGTGGGGGGTGAGGAAGCCTCAAGGAACCAGAGGAATATGGTGTGTTTCATTGATGCTATACTTCACTGTGACAACCATTTGTATATATTCTTGCATATCACTTGCAAAATTTTCTCTACATATATGTTTATATATGTTTCTGTAATACTACTATATATTCTGTTCTGTGGTGTATGTATATGAGTATGTATACACATATACCAAATTCATAGTTCTCCTTCCTTAGACAATAATCAAAGCAAGCTATATGTGTATGTACATATATTATGTGTAAATAAAAAACTATATATATTATGTACATGTAAAAAAACAAAATAAAATGAACTCAATGCCCCCTAAGCAAAAACTATTCCTCTTTCATCCATGGTAACCATAGGTCAAGTTTGTTTTTTGTTTTTTTTTGTTAGTACTGAATTGAGATTTGCATTACTGTGTACCTTCAATCAGGAGCCCTGATGGAGTGGGTTACCATGGGGATACAAACCACAGGGTCAGCAGTTCGAATACAACAGCCACTCCATGGGAGAAAGATGAGACTGTCTGCTCACGGCCTGAGGACTGACAGCCTCCGAAACCCTAGGGAGCAGCCCTACTCCGTCCCACAGGGGTGTAGTGATTCAGACTCTTGATGGTAGTGGATAATGTATTCAATATATTCGATAACAGTTGTATGAGCCCCTAATGAAATGTTTAAAATATATATATATATTCAATACCTGGTACACATGGTTCATTTTACATACAATCAAGTAATATTTTACTTTGTCCCTGGATATTTTATTTTCCTATATAACTTAAGAAAATATTCTTAATTTTCAATTCCCTCTCTTCTTTGATGTTTGTGTGTATATATGGAGAAACAAAGGGGGTTCTACTCCTGTGAAGAGATACTGTCTCCGAAACTCACAGGGTAGTTCTACCCTGTCCTATAGGGTCACATGAATCAACATTGACTCAAGGGCAGTAAGCTTGAGTCTGTGTGTATGTGTGTGGAATCAAAGTCTGGTTGCTTCAGTCCTTCAGGGTGTGAAAACCACGCAGAATCTGTATTAGAGGTTAAATTCTGAGCACCCCAGTTTGCAAAATACTCTGGATGTCAGTGCCAGCCCCAAATCCATTCTCAGATTCCCCACATAGATTAAGCCTCCATTGAATTCTTTTGATCATTAACCAAGGACTTAGATAGTCATGTCCTTATGCAGAGTGCTTTGGGAAGTAGATTATTTATACCCTCTCAAGCCGGCCCAGGGAGGGGCAGTCTCTCTTTAAGGGTGTGCCCTGGATGGAAGTCACTGTACTGGAGACAGTACAAGGGGTCCCTTAGTCATGAGTCATGCTTATCAGCCTCTCCCTTCTGCCCTGGTCAAAATGCCCTGGGCCAATCTTGTAAGCACTTCTGTCATGGTAAAGATGGTCTTATTCCTGCCTTTTTCGTCTCGTGTAATTGTGATGCATTGACATTGATCTGCCACCAGTCATGCTTTTGTGACAGTTTCCTTTGCCTTCCCATATGCTATTTAACTAGCTTCCCAATTGTAAATCCATGAATGCAGATTTAATCTCATGCCAATGACCTCCCACATTCAGATGATGTGTCTACTATGTCTTTGTGTTGTCTTTATCTCTTTTAAGACTTAATTGGTCTCCTTAAATTATAATTGAGATGAAACAAGTCTTGTCTTAAATAATCCACCTCTGAAATTCCTACCACTTCCCTGAGACCACTGTGACTTTTTAGTAACCCATCAAATAGGACATTTGAGGTCTTATTTTTTTCTTTTGGATTTAATTTGTTGCTTTTAATGTGTTTGGCAAGTAATTTCTTATTTTCAGCTAAATGAAGAAAATTCTAGTGATGAATACTCATGACATAGGTTACATTGCATTTCAGGTACTAAACTTTTTTAGTTTTTATTTTATTTGTATTTTTAATCATTTTATTAGGGGCTCATACAACTCTTATCACAATCCGTACATACATCAATT